AAAAAAAAAAAAAAAAAAAAAAAAAAAAAAAAACAAATATTAAAAAAAAAGTTAAACACAAAATAAAAGTTGCTTTCTAAAAAACAACTGAGCATGTGAAAATAAAATCGTGGTATCCTCTTGTCTTTTCTTTTGCTGCAGGTCTCAGTCGTTCCGGCAAGGGCCACTGAATGCTAGTAGCCGAAGTCAGTCGCATACGTATGTGAATTCCAGCATTTCAGCCAATCCCCTACTCCCAATTGACACTGGTTTGTATTTATTTTGTTTAATTGTTCGATTATTATATTTCATGATTTATCATTTATCGCTTATCGTTTCATTTCCGTACATATGTAGTTCGTTGAGTGTCGGACACTCTATATATCTGTCTCTCGTTTTGTTAGCTGAATGCGTAGACGAAGGCGATCGATTTCTATTAAACATATTCCTTTTTATATTTAAATTATTATATTTTGTATTTTAATTTCACGCTGCAGCGGCATGGGATTATCGCAATCAATGCAGCGACTCGATGACCCCTTCTCTGACGAAGAAGGCAGCGGATACCTTGGATCGCCGACGCGACAATCCTACAGACCACATGCGTTCTCAAGTGAGTGTGAATTTACCTTTAATGCGGAAGATATTGTAATCCTCATTGTTTACTTATCCCTATGTAGGTCACAGCAGCCCAGGTGGAGATTTATCAGACGAAGAATTATGCAGCGGAATCGCCAACCTCAACGGAGGAAGCGGCATGCTCGGTGGAACGTCAACACCACTCGGCAGCGGGTATGGACCAAATGAATTCGAACCGCTCGCTTTCGCCACAGGGTCCGCAATCGTGGACTTCACCCAGCCACAGCAGCAGCCAGGCACAGCGCGCTCCCGATCTGGGTCGTGCGCATCAAGGCGATCACAATTTAGGTAAGTCCGCCAAATCAATTCAGATTATTTATAATATAATTTTCTGTAGTTTTTAGTTATCGTTATAGCAAATTTTAAACTAATCTATGATTTAGATTAAGCTCTATATTTATTCATGACTTAAGCCCAATTTAGTTTTAGATCTATTATTATTTAAATTCATTTCTATTCACAGTGGTGGCTATTAGCTATTGTATGAATTAAATGACAATGGTCGAGTTGTGACCCCACTACGAATACAATCCGAATAGTGCATATTATTTTCAGTGTTTTCAGCCATTTTGTTGTGATCATGCCTTGAGTTCGATTCGTTTTCGGTTTGTTTCGGTTGCTCCCTTGTATCCAAGCAGTCCTAATATACGCAAATTCTTTTAATCCCTGCGCGTGTTCAGGTCTGAGCCACTTGTCCCACTTGTACAGCAGCAGCACGCCTCGTCGAGTCTCACTGGGATCCCAAGTGTATGCCCCTGCCTCGCCGCAGCTCATCAGCATCAACACCAACACCCACAACAACACTATCAACAGCAGCAACACGGCGGGTCATTCGGTGGATCTCAGCAGCTCCATGGAATTGGAGGAGCAGGAGGAGCTGCTGGAGCCTGCGGATACGGAGGAGGAGGGGCCTATGGGGGAGGAGGAGGAATTAGTCGAGGAGGAAGCGGATTCGGACTTGACAGCATCTACCATCAATCGGGAGACTATGGCGGCAGTCTCACCGGCCTCAGCCATGGCCATGGCCAATGCCCGTCGTCAGCCGCTTCACTCACAGGAGTCCCAATCTCAAACTGTCACCCCAGTCCATTATAGCAGTACCAGTTATTCGATGTCTAAACAGTGCATGCTTAATAATGCCAATGCCAACTCTACTGAAACGGAAACCGACAACATCATCTACACTGATATTAACGATATGGGCCATTATAAATACCCAGACTTTCACAACGCTCAAATGGAACACAAGATATCCAACAGCGAGCATCTCAATTTGAATGATCGCAATGATATTTATGCCACCGTCAATCGCAAAGCCAAGTCCAAGACACGTGAGAAGCACTTCAGCGATGAGTTTATCGATCAGTCCATATTGCAGTACACCCGGGCTAAGCAGCTGGGCATTCAGCCTGTGGCTATGCCTATGCTACAGCAGCCAAGCACATCGGCCTATGCTGCTGCCCAGGAACGTAATTATAACAGCTTGAACTATCAATATCACAACGATCTTAATCATCCCTCAGAATCGTCTTCTTCGTCCTACTTTGGCACAGGCTTTGGTACAAAGCGTAACGGTCAAAGCGAACGAACAAAACTAGCACAATCCGAGAATTATCTAACACCCTCTATAGATTCTCAAAACTCTAGGCACACTCATTCTTTGCCACGCAACTCAGAGCTATCTGGGGTAGATTCTGTGGATTCATACGATAGCCATTACATAACACATCATGCACAACGAAGCTCAGAGCAAAACAAAGATTATCAAATAGCTACGGGCAATAATCTTTATTCGACAGCGCAATTCGTGAAGCCCGAACAGGCAGCTGCTCATTACATGGATGATGAAGAAGATCAAGATGATGACCCGGAAGGGGAGAACATCTATGATCAAGTGGAGCGTGAATCCTGGCTGAAGAGTAGCTCTTGCAAAGATCTCTTTGAACGCTATAGCAGCACTTACTATTCACGCGAGCAACCAAAACCCATGACAGCTTTCGATAAAGAATTTCTCTCCTCGAATCGCATTGATTCGCCCGTTACTCGCTATGATGACTCTAGGCACTCGTTGTACATTACTAAGAACCATTCTATAGATGCGCATCAGGACTTTTCACCTCTGCCTCAGAGCAAGGTGTATTCCTCCAGCTATCCAGGCAGCACTTACAACACTCAAGAGCACAAACGCAACTATGGGCATCATTTGGACTATACAGGCTCACAGGATGATATATCACAGGATAGCTATGAGCTTCTAGAGAAATATGACATTGATTTCTTTAGTGGCCGTCGTCGTTCCGAGGATCACATGCGCTCCTGTTCACTGGACTCCGGTAACTACATACCTAGCGATGACGAATCAGTTTCCGAGCAGCCCAAATATCGTTCGGCTATCGATGTTAAATCCAAATCGGCTGCTGATATAATGAATGAAATTTGGGATGCTGAAGATCCGCGTTATTTACCGCGTGAAAAGCTCTCTGTCAAGTCAGATGGTAATTTCTATAAGAAAATTCAAGAGGCCCTTACGCGCACTTCTAGTCAGGAGAGTCAAAGCGAAATGTTTGAAACAAAAATCTCTCGCAGCTCCGACTCGAGCAAAAAATCACGTGACAGTCTCTATCATACAGATAGCAAAAAGTCGCGAGAGACCACTAAAAGCAAAACATCGGTGGCTTCTAGTCAAGATTCTAAAGAGTCTCTGGTGGGTGATTGCTTTGGACGTAATTACGAAATGCCCACAACCACTTGCAAGAAAGTCAAACAGTTTAATAAAAAGGAGCTCTACGAGAAGTTTGCACAGTCCAGTCAGGAGTCCAAGAGTGATTATTACGATGCTGTAGAGCCTCCTGCAGAGATAGAGGGCTTGTATATCCGGCCAAAGGTTAAGAGCCACGACTGTTTGCTCTCCGACACGCATAGCTCCACGGCCAACAGTTCATTCTACGACAGCCGTGATACATATTCCACATTCCCAAGCAACAAGACTCATAAGACCTCGAAGGTTCACTCGATTAGTTTGCAAAATGTTGAAATTGAACGCAATGCCAAATCTTTTGGAAATAAATCTCCAGAGTCTGTGTCCACTCCTGCGTCTGGTATGCGCTACCAGGAGAAGGATATCCAAACTACCGACTCGATCGATCAAACGGCACCCATCAAAAAAAGCAACTCACAGTCGTGCAAGATATCCGCATTCCGTCGACGATCTGATAGCGAGAACATCTTTAGTTTTGATCAGGATCGTATAGAATGCATACAAAAATACAGTAAGCACTGGGAAGGGCAGCCTAAGGATGAAAAGTCCAAGCAGAGTCCGGACTATCCATTGACGCCCGAGCTCATCTCGGAGTTCGAGAAACAACAGGCACGAGTTGCGCATCAGAAAATCACACGTAAGGAGGAACTCATGGCCAAGACACACTTTGAGGAATATAATCCGATAATGGTCCCACTAAACTATGCCCATGCCACAGTGGAGCGCACTAAGAGCGATCCTAACTCCTTGGCTAATCGAGCTCGTCTGGGCAGTAATTCTCGTCGTCATGTGCTGATGCATCAAAAATCGATTGATTTAACACCAGCTGATTCTAGTGATGAAGATTATATTTATAAGCAAATACCCAGCGCTCCACCTTTATGTAAAGCGCATGGAAACTTTGAGATACCCAAATGCTATGATGGTCCATCAGTTCCGCAAGTAGATATACCCAAGACAGGTTTTGAACTACCCAAGAGCTTCTTCCGCGAATACGAACGTCGATTTACTAAAGTTCTAAAAGAAGATATACCCTATGTTCTGCATAAGCGCCACATTATGAACGGCACTGCGCCGTCGCCAAATGACAAAAAACATAACAAGCCCAAATCGCCGAAGTCACCAAAATCTCCAAAGTCACCCAAGTCACCAAAGTCGCCGAAATCACCCAAAGCGAGTGCTATTCCGACACCTGGTCCTGCTGACTTTCTTCCAGACATTCTGGATAGTCTATTGCCTGCAGAGACAAAAGAATTTCTATTCACGCAAAATATAGATTTATCGAAAGTGGATCCTATAACACTGGAAATTGACAAGACCATACCAATCATACAGTTGTCTTCACCCAAGCGAGACATAACCAAGCAAATGGATGCCTCTACGTTGGAAAAGCTAAATAAGAAGCTGAGTCAAATTGAAAGCGATTCGGCGACTAGCTCTAGAACGGAAAGCATGCAACAGCAAAAGCTGGAACAGAAACAAATGGAACTTATTCAAAGTCTGCGCAAAGAACTACAGGCGAATGCGCGCAAGGCCAACAAGCCGAGGGTAATACCCAAAACAAAGCCATCGGGCAAGTCCAAGAAAGGCAAAACACGAATTACATCCTTCTCATCGGATGATGAGAGTTTGGACTCGGACGATGTCTTTGGATCGGCTGAAGCCATACCGGATCGCCTGGAGTTCTCGCCACCGCAGTCACGTAAAGAAATTGAACCAATTTTGCGAATAGAGCAAAGCCGACTTATCTCAGCCGCCTGGGGTAGAGGTCAGACCATGAGCTCTACCGAAATTGAGGGCTCTCCACCACAGTGTCGTCGTCTGGCTGATCTGGAAAGTCGGTATCATACCCAAAAGCTTGATCCACAGTATGCCAATGCTACGGAGCTTCGTCGTATATCGGAACGCTCTATATCGATACCATCATCAGAAGATGAGCCACATTTGCCAATGCGACGTATGGATGAGTGCACCAACGATTATCAGCGTAATGAGAACATACCATCACCAATCTTTGAGCATGCGGAATTCTTTCGCAGCAATGATGACATCTATGAAACGTGCCATGAGGAGAAGATAAGTGGTTCGGATATTGACTATACTCTGAAAAAGCAAACTGCAAAATCGAAAGTCAAATTAATTGAAGAAATAATTGATTCATCCATAGTCATGCGATCCAAGGGACATGCACCTATATTATTTGCTCATGCTCGACTTAATTTATCCGAGGGCTCGGTTTCCTTACAACGTCAGCATGCCACACAACAGTCTCCAACCACTGAGCGTCGCACTAAAAGCCTGGACACTCCAGTCATTTCTCTGCATAGACTACCACCGATGAACGCGTTTTCATCTAAGGACGATACTGTGGGCTTCGAAGAGGAAGGTGAGATTTTAGAGGAAAAGTCGCTGGAGCGTGTCAATCAAACAGCACAACAGGATGATGATACAGCAGATAGCATTCATTCCTGCGCAGGCTCTATACCTACTCAGAGCAGCTATAAGGCCAATAGAAAGGATTCAGTACTCAGTGCTGTGACGATTGATAGCGAAGAGGCGCAGCTTCTGAATCAACTGAAATACATAGAAAAGATTGCCTTGCAAGGCGTCAAGATCAAAGATAAACGCAAGTCAAAAATGAAGCTAAAAAGTGGCGATCATTTGATACTAAACATACCCAAATATAGATTTACCGATTGGTCACCGTATAGCTCAGCCAACAGCTCGCGAAAGACTTCGCCGGGTGTATCCAGGGCCAGCAGCATCGAGAGCACTGGCAAAGGGAAGCTAAAAACCTCAGAGCCATACAAGGGCAAACCTATGTCACGCAGTCGGCCAGAGTCGCGGCGCACCAGTGCGGATGATATAAAAGCCGGCAAAGATGGTCGAGGTAGCAAAAAATCGAGTCCCAAAGAGCGTCCACGCTCCATTGAAATGCGTCGCTTAAGCAAAGACAAGAGCAAGTCACAAGAAGAGACAGAGGCAGACATAGCTAAGCGCAAGGAGAGACAGCAAAAACTGTACGAATCTGCAATGAAGCAGACTATAACCATGCTAAGCCCTGTAAAAGATACTCTGCCCGCTTTTCCAGCTCCAGAGGATAAGATACTGGTGAAAACTGATGGCGATAAGATAATCATTGAAACGGAATTCAAGTCTAAAGCGGAGGATCATGTGCTAATTGCCAAAGCACCACGCAAGTTGGACACATCGCTAGTCAAGTTCAGCCGCAGCTTTGATGAGGGGCGCAGTCCGGACAAACTGGATAAGGCCAATCGCAGTTTTGAGGATCGTAATAAGTCTTTTGAGGATTCAGAGAAATCAGACGTGCCCGAAGACATGCTGATTAAATCACCTAAGAAAATAGCAAAAGCACAAGAAATTAAACAGAAAATCGAAGGCAGTGTTGTACATAAGAAATTCGACGGCAAATCGAGTAGCTTAGAAAAACCAGCAGAGCATCACTACCTAGCCACTGATGTCAAAGCCCGCAGCTTAGACGACAAGAAGCAGGCAACGGCAGAGCCAAAAAAAGTTGAAGACAAACCTACGGCTACTGTGCGAAGCGCCATTGGAGATCGCCGTATGTTCGCACATCAATATAATGTTCATGAAGATATCGATATGCAGGCTGTTATCTCTGAGCGTCGTTCACTCGAAATACTCAAGCGTTCGCTGCCGTCAGAGGACACACGTGATAGCGATTATACACACAGTCGCAAGGCGTCAACAGCTGATAGTTTGGATTCGTTTGTTTCGGTGGATGAAAGCCACTCGCCAGTACCACCGCCCGAGGTTTACCCACATCGAGTACCCACCATTGAGTGCGAGGAGCCCTCCATTGAAGAGGATGAAATCTCTTTAGAGCGTCGCCATCTAAAAGTGGATCGCCAAGATGTGAACCGTTTGAGCTTAGATCGTAGTCGCAGCGATGAGACAGGCTCATGGATAACCGTAGAGTGTGATGAGTTTATTGGTTCGGATACCTCAGACAATGAACAGCGTACCTTAGAAGCAGATCGGAACGCCTTAGAGACTCAAGCTACATTGGAGGATGCCATACCGTTAGAGTACTCCAATTGTGCAACTCCAACATCTGACTTAAATATTCTGGTCACTCCACCCAATGCTAGTCCAATGATTGAAAAGTCAGTACTAGAGACTTTTGAGAAGTATACGTCCGAAGGTAAGAAAAAATACAGCCTGGAGAAGCAAAGCGATAAATCGAAAAGCTCAGATTCGTGGACCAGTGGTGAGAAGGACAGCAGCCCACAGCGTCAGCAGGACTGGAGCTTATCCGTGAAAGAGAAGAGCTCCGTCGAGGAGGAGTCCAGTGTAAGCTGCTCCATAGCACGTCCTCTGGGAATATCACAAGATTTTGGCAATGAGGAAGCTAAGAAATGTCTGGAACTGAAACAGCGAATGCTCAAGCTAGATGTGGCGGCTAATGAAACTGAGATCACGCCCACCGGGTCGAACGAGCAGACACCAACCAATGAGCCAAAGATAATCATAAAAAAGCCCTCAACGCCCACACTTGAAAAACAAAGTCCCATTGATTTGGGCAACAGCACCGAATCTTACCTTGATCCCATAGAGGAACGAATTGCCAAAATACTTCAAAGAACCGAGGACAGTGAATCCAGCTCTGGTGGTTCCCGCAAACCGCCTCGAATAGAAAAGCCAGCGCGTGCCAATGCGGGCAAAAAATTGTCGGTGACCAAAGCTGAGCCTGGAAAATCTGGCAGCGATCGCAGCTCACAAGAATCGAAATCCAGCTTTGATTCAAAAGGTTCATTAAGCGTCGAGTCCCGTGGCTCCTTTGAAACAGAAAGCAGCTCTGGGTCGCTAGGTGCAGCACAGCGTCGAGGCGAGCTGGCACAGAAAGAACAACAAAGCACTTGGAAAGCTTTTCCCATCGAAAGCTCCAACAGCTCCAGCACTGATGATCCCTGGCATCATGTAGAAACTGACGGTGGCTATGAGCGATACGATGCACAGAATCCATTGCGCGACTCCTCAGATAGCGATGTCAAGGAAGTGTCACCGGATGAGCAAAAAGAAAGTGACACCAGCTATCAAGATGATCTTAATGATTTTCCCACAACTTTTGGCTATCCTGCCATGACTAGCACTTTGGGTGGCATCGGTGTCAATCCCACAGATATTATAGGTTATAGTACAGGGTTTACGCTAGGCCGCACGCTCTCACGTATTTCAGAGCGCAGCACAGCCTCTGAAAAGTCTAGCATTGAAGATGATGTCAGCAAAGCATCCACGCATTCGGTCAGTATTCGCGACGAATCAGTTGGATCCACAGATCATCAGCCTAGTCTGAGCTCTGATTCGCGTAGCAATACTAATTTAGCCTACATATCGGATGCAGATCGTCGCACCTCAGCTGAAATGCCGGAAATACCTTGCGATTCGGCCACAGCCGATCGGCTTAGCAGTATTGGTAGCTTCAATGAACCAAAGTCACCAACACTAGTGACAGGGCGCTTCTCGGTAACACACGTGGATGAACAGCAACCGGACGATCTGGAGCGGCACACTCTTATGTGCCTCTCGAATGCAGGCAGTCAAGACTCAGAGGATTGGCCTCTACCTGAAATACCCTTTGATCATGTGCCGGTCAAGCCGGCCGAGAGTCTGTATGCAATGCCAGATTTGGACAAGCCGGTGCCCAAGTCCTTCTGCTGGAAGGCTAGCATGGCATTCCAACAATCACAAGATTCGGTGGACTGGCCATCGCCGCCCTCCAGTACCATCGATGCGCCTATTGTGGTAGAGAGCATTGAAACGTATTATGCCAGCGAGGTGCAGAATGCCGACAAAGTTGTCTTAGATGAGGAAGCGAACGCTGCTGGTCCTCCCGATGTGGCCAAGGTGTTGCCTTACGAAGACACAGCTTATCTTATGTCCGCTGCTTTCGAAGACAAGGACTTCGGCAGCGAGGATCTCCAATTGGATACAGTTAGCTGCTTGAGCACCACGCTAAGTGCCGCTTCCTGCCTGTCCTCATCGTTCAATGTCAGCTGCAGCACATCCTCCACGCAGCCGACGGCTAGAGCAACTGCTGGACTACGAAAAGGCTCCAGTCCGGAAGTAATTGTAGCGCAGCCAACACGATCGCCAGCGCCGCGTAGCCCACTTTCAGAGGATGAGCTGTTTTCCAATGACGACGTATTTATGCCGGGCACCATTAAGGTGCAGATCTCACCAGATGCTCAGCTGCGCAAACTCTCACGTGGCTCTAACAATTCGGACACATCTATAGATGACATTTTGTCGGGAAGCACCTACCTGGATGATCAGACAACGGTACGTCGCAACTATGAGGCACGTTTGAGCAGCGGAGGTGGCAGCTGCAAGAAGTGCAGCCATTCCAGTCACTCCGAGGAGGAGACTAGCTCCATTGGCACCGATCTTGATGGTACTGTGCGCATGGGCTTGCAGCAGAAGAAATGCACCCATAGCTCCCATTCCGAGGACACTTCAATTGGTCTCAGCATTTCCGAATGGTCTACTGGCACCAATACAGTGCGACAGTACGCAAACCTCTCCGGATCTGACAGTCTGTCAGCCGTGTCGACGCATTCCTGTGCCAAGAGTGAGAAATCGAATCAGACCAAGTCCAGCATGAGCTCCATCAACAAATCCGCCGAGAGCCTAAACGAGCAAAGCGGAAGCTATTCACACAAGTTTAGTGGAGATAACGGATCCTCGGATGGCTTGCGCTATGACATGCTGTCAAACTCGGAAACCGATAAGCTGAGCGAGCCCACCTCGGCCACGCGTAGCGATGATACCACTCTAACGCTAACTGAAATGGCGCACACCATCAGCGAGTGGTCCACGTCGAGCAGTCGCACTCTAGTGGGCGTGGTACCCGGAGAGTATATGCCCTTAAAGCAGCCAAGAATGGGCAGTAAGCCCAGTTTGAGTTCACCCAGTGAGGAGAAGCGTAGCTCGCTGCCGCAGATACACAGACGCAGCGGCAGCAACGGCAATCAGGCGCGTGGCTCTCAAGATCAAGCCGAACAGCAGCCAATGGGGTCAGCGGGCCCTGAAACAAGTGCCGCAGCACGAAAGCGACGCTCGCTGGAAATGATGTCCAAGCTGTATCAGAGCCAGGAGATATGCTCCGAGTCGGAGTCACCATTTGTGGAGCGTTTGTATGCGCACAGCGAGAAGTTGACGGAGCGCTATCAGAGCCAGGAGTTTGTGCCGCTGCACACATCGGCTCCTACAAATACCACGCAGATTCAAACCCAACAATCACAAGCTCAGCAGACTCGCCAAAAACCACGTGCACCACAGCCGCCCACAAAGCCTAAGCCGGCAGTGACACGGCCCATAATGCAGGCGCTGCTCAACAAGATGAAACAACCGGGTCTGGCGGAGCAGGCGGCGGCCGCTGCTGAAGCAGAGGAGACGGCAGCAGCGGCAGCAGCGGCAGCGGTGGTGACTGCTAAGAGTAAGCCAACGCCCGCACCCAAGCCGGCACCGCCGCCGGTACCCACTGTGCCGCCCATAGTAACGCCTAACGACTTGCCTGGTCATGTGGGGGCACCTCCGGCCAAGCCACTGGCCAAGCATCATAGCTACGATGACAAGACGCTCTCCAAGACGCAGATACGAGAGTTTAAAACCACGTCGAAGCAATTGCGGCAATCGAGCTCTTTCCACGAGCACATGCTGAGTAAATCACAGCAATCCTCTCAAGAGTTGCCCATGCGTATTGACGAAGAGCGCGATGCGCACTCCACCTCTTCGGCTACCAATACGACAACCACAACGAACACATTGAACAGCGAGAGCACGGCTCCGAATTCTCCACAGATGCCGCAACGTGCCGATAAGTTAGTCCGTTGCTCGCCCTACTATTCCAGCAGCCTGAGCTCGGAGTCGCCACCAAACCAGTTGATCCAGAAGCCGCCCCGTAAGAGCTCGGCCGGTCAGCTAGCAGCAGTTGCTGCCGCCACAGCTGCCAGCGCGATGAAAAGCCCGCCCAGCGGCAACGACACCGACAGCTCTCTGGACGTGCGCGGTCAGGATGCCAAACAGCAGCTGCGCAGTCGTGGCTATCGCAAGAAACGCCAGCTGCCCGTGAAACGCATGCGAGCCAACTTGAACGCAGCCGCCCTGCTGGAGCAGGCGGAGAGCAGCGAATGCTCTGAGGGCTATTTGCCCGAAATGGACTCGGGCAGCTCAGAGTATTCGTATCAGCGGGACGACCAGTACATGGAATTCGACGAGGAGCAGGAGCACGAGCAAACAGATGATTATGAGGACTATCCGCAGTATGGTGGCACCGCTGGCAAATTTGAGAGCTTGGACATGAGCGACAATGTGGATGAGATGGGATTCCCACGCTATGATCGCTTGGGTCACATAACCAAGCCGATGTATCAGCCAGTGGTCGAGAGGCCGGCGCCTGCCAATCATCCCATGCCACCGGCCAGTGGACAGCCCGTTAAGCCGGCACGCACCAAGAAGCGACAGCTCAAACGCGAGGATTCGCAGGCCCCAAGTTGCTCGAATGCCAGCCAACAGCAGCCGTATCATGGACGCAACTACTGTAATCCCGAGGAGAGCGAGTATGAATCCCGCGAGGATGTAGCCAACTCGAGTGAAGATAGCGGCGCCGGACCTAGCGGCATGAGCACTATAAGGCGTGGCCGCGCTTCGACACAAGTCGAACCACAACGCCAACAGTTGCCCTATCCAGACTTTCTCTCGGACTATGAAACAGAGCCTATAGAATACGAGCGGTATGCGTGTGGCCTGGATATACGGGTTGATCCGCCGCCCAAGTTTCATGACTCGGATGACCTGAGTGATCATTAAGAGGATGTAGGAGTATATGACGCAGCAGTAGCAGCATTTTCCATTTCTTCAGTTGCCTTGGAAATTTTTAGAACAAATCTATGACAATTTTTACACATGATCCAAGTATAACCAACTTATTTATAATTGAGACTGATTTACGACAAAAAAAAAAAAGAACTAAGCGTACTACAAGAATACCAAAACAACATCGTACAATCCAAGAAAAAGTTTAATGCTGCTAAAGAAAATACAACAAAGCAAAATAAAACATTCTATTCATGATTATAATCTAGACAAGTTCGAAAAAAATCAAACTAATTAAAAATTTTAATCAAATATATACAAACATATATTACCTTAACAAAAATATATAGAGAAAATACAAAGTCTATCAGAGTTGGTCAATGGTCAGTGAAGCATATGGTTAACGTAGCTGGAATACATAACGTATATAGAGAAATATATATATCGAATGTTATAGAACAGCAGCTCCCAGAAGCTAGTCAGAGTTGAGTAAATTTTAATGCACTGTTTAATCATCGAATAACGAATAATAAGAAACCTACATCAAGTACTTAATTGTTATTTAGCTAAAACAATGAAATTAAGGAGGAATACGATCAACGTGTTTTAAGATTAAAGTTGAACAAACAGATTATTGAATATTTATTGAAAAAAGTATTTGAATTACGATCAGTACTTAATCAGTATTATTGTATTTACCTATGCTATAAGTTCCAGTTAATGTGTCAAAGCTTCAATTTACACACTATATCTATAATTATAAGTACATTTAACTGAGTTTTCAGCATAAATTAGGTTTATACGTTTATCTTAATGTGAAAACAAAATTTATGATATATAGTAAGTTATTATACCTGAGCCAACATTCGATCTCTTTGGTATTTACGTAATGTAAAAGCATTTAATTCATTCGATAAAAGAAGAGTTCTTTTTTATTCAGCTTATATAAATATATGGATATATGTAAACATATTATATATATGTATATATGTTTAAAATACATATATTTTGTGGAATGTAAACGTTTTTAATTTGATGAGAGTTTTAACAAGCAATCGTTCAAATCAATAAATCAATTACTATAATTCAATATTCTTCACTGAGAACAAGTTGTATTAGCTTTAGTTATAGAAAATAAATGTGCCAAGAAAGAACCCTATACAAATACTACAAAAACTAATATTAGATGCTAAAACGGAGCGTATTATATATAAAATCAAAAGCCAAAGGAACTAAGCGAAATCCAGTTAAGTTTACAAAATCAGAAATACAAATGAGCCACAAGGTGTAGCAAAGAAACGGTATTAAATTTTTAGACAAATTAAGAAATATTATTAGGATATGTTATGGGTATTCCCGTGGTACAATAATTTCACATATTTATCGGATCAAAAGTATTTAAATCAAAAGGTTAACCATTTCTATTGGCATTCAATTGTATTTAGGCTTAGTCAAGAATCTATTGAAATCCATATAAATCAAATTGTTTGTTGTATCTATGTGCTAATCAGATGTTAAGAATACATATTGAATATAGTTTGTACCTGTTTTTAGTTAGTTTAAGTAAATGATTTGTTATTGGATCAGATAGTTTTTTGTAAAATGTTTTTACATCCAGTTTTTGTTAACCAATGAAGACTTGCGTCGAACTTCCAAATTCCGAAAAGACTTGTCAATAATTTATCCGACTAAAATCAATTCCTTCAAGTGCAAATGAGTGTTTATTTACAGTTAATTTACATCAAAATAGATAAAACAAAATGTTTTAAGGAAAAACAAAAACAAAAACGATCTTAGCTGAATTTTAGCCAGTAAGAATTATAAAAGAAAAACTCGTTCCACACTTACTAACAACACTCACACTTTCAAAACGCGTTGATAATACAAACACACACATACACGCATATACACACACAAACAGAAATGCACACACCTAATTTTGAAATCTTTTAAAAAACAATTTAATGAACGAAAACAAAATGAATGAAGAAAAAGTCATACACAATGCAAGCGATTAAAACAATATAAATTTATTATATAGACCGAAAAACCAAAGTAAATAAAAAATTCATTAATCAAATCAAAAAGTGTTTTAATGGAATTTTACCTAAGTTAAGTTCTTACTTAATTTACATCGTTATTTATTGTATTTGTATTTAATTTATAAATATGTAAGTTACAAATAGTTTTTAATTTTAATTAAATTTGTAGTATTATTTGATATTAGTTGCATTTATTTATGAATTTATTTTTATTTTTATTTTTATTTATTTTGTTGCGCTTTTCAGATGGGTACCACGGCATCAATGGCAATATGTCGTTGGATAGACGGGGTGAAATCGCCACGCCCCCGAGTCGTTACGATCTCACGCTGGGCTCCGACAAATCTTCATCGCTCTCACGCTCTGAGGCGGGCACTTATGACGTCATTCAGGCTGAGATACAGCACGCCAAGCGTCAGGAACTGGCCACAGGCGTGGCCAGCGCCCACAACGGGCATAATGGCAACGGAGGCCAGCAAATATCCATGTCAAGCAACGGCCATGATGTCGAGGCAGAGGTCAAGAAGCGCAAATGGCCAACCGAGCCCAGCTACTTCCTGGCCAAAGAGCTGCTCATGACGGAGCGCACCTACAAAAAGGATCTGGATGTACTGAACAACTCGTTTCGGCAGGTGCTTAGCGTGGAGGATGTGGAGCAGCTGCAGCCGCTTTTCGAGCTGCTCGATTCGCTCGCACAGCACCATAATCTTTTCCTGCGCGACATCGAACACCGCATGGTCACGTGGGAGGGGCGTGGCAATCACGATACCCATCGCATTGGCGACGTTATGATGAAGCACATGGGCTCGCTGCCCATTTACGATGAGTATGTGCAAACGCATATGGATATTCTGCACTGTCTGAACGACATGTATGAGTCGGACCAACGATTCCAGCAGATCTACAAGGAGTTTGAACAGCAGAAGATCTGCTATCTGCCAATCGGCGAGCTGCTGTTGAAGCCACTGAATCGCCTGTTGCACTATCAACTAATATTGGAACGCCTCTGTGACTATTATGCCGAAGAGCATATCGACTACGCCGATTGCCAGGCAGTCTATCATCTGCTCATCCGCAGCACCAAGCAGATACGCGCCCAGCTGCCAGACTCGGCCAATTTTGTGGAGCTGTGCGAGCTGCAGCGCGACATTAGCTTTGAGCAACTAGTGCAGCCGCATCGTCGACTCATTCGTCAGGGCTGTCTGCTGAAGCACTCGAAGCGCGGCCTGCAACAGCGCATGTTCTTCCTCTTCTCAGACATATTGCTCTACGGCAGTAAATCGCCGCTCGATCAAAGTTTCCGCATACTCGGCCATGTGCCCGTCCGCTCACTGCTCACCGAGAACGCCGAGCACAACACGTTCTCCATATTCGGCGGACAGTGCGCCATCACGGTGAGTGCTGGCACCACCGCCGAGAAGACCCTTTGGCTGGCCGAGCTCTCCAAGGCGGCGGCCGACATCAAGAACAGGCCACCAAACATGCAGTTGCAGCTGACTACGCTCAAGAATTGCAGTGAGTATCCCAAATAGTTTACAGGGCGTGGACGTGTACTATAAACATATATTAGTTCCTATTACATTACCAGCCCTAGCAACAGCGGAATTTATCGACTCTATGTAAACATACATATATTTCTGTTAAATTAAATACAGAGTAACGTCTATATACAGGTGTCCCGGTTGTCAGACAGTAATTGACAGACTAGTTAATAGTAATATCATACTCTTTGATTCAATATGTTGTGATTTATCTTCTCTTATGATGACTAAGAGAATGTTCGCAGGTTCTCTTTAATTATTTCTTATTAAGAAAACATTTTAATTAGCATAATTCTGTGCGCAATCTCAATTATTGTTTATAATTCTCTTTACTTCACCATTCAACATCTCTATCTTTTATCTTTCTCTACTCTCATTATGGCTGGCAAGAAAAGCACGCTGCAAAGCATCGTAAGGCACTATGAACCCCATGACTCCTTATCTGTGTATGCATAGACTCGATTTAAACTGATCTACCTCTCTCTGTAATCTTCTCAGGCTCGTCAGAGGAGGGTCTGGATATGCTGGGACTGACCAACGGCACAAACAGCCTGAACAGCAGTGTAGGTGGCGCCGGCCCCTTAACTCCGCAACAGCTTCAGATGCAGCAGCAAAACAAGACACAGCCGTCACGCAGCAATACCGCACTACACGTCTGCTGGCATCGTGGCGCCACCGTTGGTCTGGGCGATCATCTCATTGCGGCAGAGAACCAGCTGTCCGGCTATCTGCTGCGTAAATTTAAGAATAGCTCCGGCTGGCAGAAGCTCTGGGTGGTCTTCACTTCGTTCTGTTTGTATTTCTATAAAAGCTATCAGGATGAGTTTGCGCTCGCTAGCCTGCCGCTGCTTGGCTATTCGGTGGGCCCGCCTGGACATCAGGATGCTGTTCAAAAGGAGTTTGTCTTCAAGCTGTCCTTCAAGAATCACGTGTACTTCTTCAGAGCAGAGAGCGCTCACACCTACAACAGGTGAGTTGACTCGCAGTTGTCATCGACAAAGAGCTCTATTAATGATTTCGATTTTCTTGCAGGTGGTTGGAAGTGTTGCGCAGCACTACTCAAACGCAAGATTTTAAGAACGTACACAGCCATGCGTCCGGCAATTAAATCCGACTCTGAAATGTCCAATCAAAATATATATAATTCTTGTGCAATTCCATGGAACAGCCACGTTGCAACACAATGAAGCTGAAGCCATCATAGAAATGCCTACTAGTATTCCCTAAAACCTAAATCTATATACATATATACACAACGTATACACCACAAAACAATTCCCTTTTACATATTCTACATATTGACTGCACTTTATACACGGCTTACGCATACCCAAAATAATTAAGTTAAGTTCACATTTCCATGTAAATAACGCCTCGTATTTTACTTTTATCTGCATTTTGTTCTATGTGCTGGTCTCTAATTTTACACTCTATATAGACACTTTGTATTTTTGTGTGGTTTAATATTATTATTATTGTCTATAGAAGTATTTTTTTAAACAACTTGTGTATCAAATTATGCAAATTTTACAAAACAATTTAAAATTGCAATGGTTATAGTCTTACACGAAATAAAGAATACATATATAAACAAAGTTTTGTGTATGTAATAAAATAATGCCTTACGACAGTTTCGAGTCGCTTTACAAAAAATCTAAAACGATTATAAAAGATGCAATAATTTTGGAAATCTTTAATTAATCATTAAGCTTAAGTCATTAAATTTAATAGATCTTAACAAATTAATAAAAATTTGAGTAACAAAAATATATTTGTGTTTTAATTACAAACAAATAAAAATTTCAAATATAATTGAAAACTCTGATCTGAAAGGAAAAAAGTAAAAATTGTATTTCTCAACTTATGAAAAATATTGATATGTCCCACCCCCAAGCCAAGAAGAAATTCCATACATGTTTTGTTATATTTTTCATTTATTGATATTTGAAATCTATAAGGTAAATTGTTATCATTTGCTTCATTTTGTTGTTTGCAATTGTTCATTTTTCTTGTGGTTTCTATATAATAGAGCTTTAAAAGGATTGCAATAATATTATTGAGTACAATTTTAATATGTATTAAATTAATTATACAAAAAAGAAAAACAACATGCTGCTATTGGGGATTATCCATAAAGATTTAGATGATGCTCAGAGCATCATCAGCATCATCATTATCATTATACGATGTAATCATCGTCTAAAACACAAAGTGCAAAAGTGGAGGGTCTTAGCAAAAGGAACAGCAAGTTAAAAACATATTATATAGAACAATCGATTGTAAATATACGCTTAATACTAAAACTAAATAGTGGATAATGCCTCTTGCCAGCCAAGACACTAGAGAGTGTATCAAATTGTTACGATTTAGCGAGTTGCAAATGGCAGTTATGAGGTGTTTTAGAATCTAATAACTATGCATTTAGTGTGGGTCATGTGTGAGTGTGTGGGGAGAGGTTGTTACTTAAATGAATACCCATCGCAATGAGCCTCAATTCGAAGTATACAAACTAGGTCAACAACACATGGATTTACAAATAGGCTCGTTAGGATTGGTGTTATTTTGTTTGGTCACTGGACAGATGCCGCAGTATTATGCATAAGAACATACAGTTTGAAAAATTAATTTGACAGCGCCTACACACAGTTTAGCATATCATATCGTAGATCAGATCTTAAAGAGATTTTTGCATATTTTTTGTTTTTATTTAATTTGCATGCTAACAACTAACATTTAATTGTAATTATAGTTTAGTACTCGGTAAATTTCACAACGTTTTTTTTTTTCATTTTTATGTTTTTTTTTTTTTTTGCCAATTAACTTATTAACCAATTTAGGTAGCTTGTGCGAATAATCATCATATTACATATTTGATTAGCATAGCGCTCGCTGGCGAAAACTTCTTTGATGCACTGTTCAACTAGGCAGCTTGCGAATTTATGTAGCGGATTATAATCATATATTACGCCTATCATCTCTTCCTAAAACAAGGCAAGTTTTAATTGAAATGCACATTGTTTAATATATGTGTGTGTTTTTTTTTTTTTTTCAGTTTCATATCATGTAGACACATCAATTGGATTATATATTCGGTTAGTTTTCTGTTTAAAATTTTTGCTTCAATTTTGGTTTGGATTAAACTAGGAAATCAAGTAATTTACGCAATTGTTCGACTTTTTTAAATCAGTTTTTTATTATTATTATTATTAATAACTTTTCTGCTGCTATTTCAATTATAACATTAAATTGTTGATGTTATCATTATTATTGTTAGCTTATGAGAGGCTGAGGAGATATTTAAATATCTATTGTTGACGCCTGAAGTTGTTGCGGCTTACTTAATTTTTTGTTGCTGCTTCAGTGGGTTGTTGTTTATGTTGATGCTTTTGTCGTGTGTCTTCGATTAAAATAATTTGCCGAAAATATAAACTGCCCTGTTCTTCGGATATATATACATATACATATATATATATATATATATATTGTGTTTTATGTATGTGTGTACGTATGATGTGTGCGCGGGTATGCGTGGCTGTCTGTATAGAGAGCCTGTGTGTATGGAAGTGTGTGTGTTTGCTTTAGGCGCTGTTACAATTTCATAGCATTATAACTATTATAAATATATCTGATATTTAATGTAAACTTGTTTATATTATTGCATGTTGTTGTTGAAGTTGCTTTCTGCAAGTCGCTGTTGCTCCTGGCTCTGCTGCTGATGATGTTGTTGCTTTTGTTGTAGGCTGTAAAGTGGGCGCATGGCTAATCGATAAAACTTTGCTCCACACAGGCTTTCACACGCTTCTCATACTCGCGACGATTCTCTTTATACAGCTGGGCGGCGGTGGAATTGGCCGGTGAATTGGGATTGGGATCGCTCAGCAGTGACTGAAATGTCAGAGAATACCATTACAGTTAATATTAGTTATTTCAAAAGATCTAGTCGTCTTACCTGTATGGATGTTAAAATAGCTGACACATCATATGTGGGACTCCAGCGGTTCTGCAATATATCCAAACATATGCCACCATCTGCATAAACATTTGGATGAAATACTTTCGATACGAATCGAACTGTTGGCGGTTTATTTGGATATTCTTCCGTAAATTCTATGGTTAACTTAAAGGTACCATCTTCGAACGGTGTATCGTGTGGACCAAAAATCACAGCATTCCATATCATAATATTATTATCTGTTGGCGCACCCGAAACACCCGTTGGTGGGTCCTCCTGAAGTCTGCAAGTAATTAGAAAACAAAGTGCAAAAGATATATCAAATACATATATATTTTCAATGATTTAATATAAATCATGAATGCTGAGAAATAGATCGATCTTCCTGTAGAATCTGTATGGTATGGTTGAACAAGCTTATCAGAATATTGATTATGTTAGTGGGAAATTTGTTTAGGCCAGTATAGCAAACAAATATTTATTCTGCACCATCTCTAAAATTTTAACAATAAGAATCCAAGCAAAGCAGGAAACATATCGATGTGAGACGCTGAACAAGATGCAAATAAATTATTACTGCACATGGGTGACTAATCTTATGTGGTCAGTGTTTACATATATTTGTGTATATACATACATACACATATAGTATGAATGTGTCTACTTAGGCAAGAAGTGCCGTGTCATGTTTTTAAGATACATATTTCCCCTTGGTGTCTGCTGTTCCGGCAATTGTTTACAATCAACAGCTGCTTTAATGTGTGGGTTGCAATTTTCATTTAGTCGAGTTCATTGAGCGCTAAAAAATAGATGGAAATCATATTTTCGTTTCTGTGCGTCGATCTTTAAACGGGTAACGGATGTTTATTAAACCAGATCAATAGCCATAGCCATACACTGGCTCCCATTCGCTTTTCACTGATTCCCAGGCGCACTATAGCAGACACCAGACATTATTTAGGTCAAGCATGCACACAAGGAAAAGGTAGACATGCACTTGTATGTGCAACATCTACGAGCTGAAAGAGAGGAACCAGCAACAGCGACACCGATGTCAGCCAACCGCGCCCTTCAATCGGCTAAATCAATACAAATAACAAAGCCGAAAAATGAAATCATCGATTTAACAACAACAACAAACCACTACATACACACATTTGATATCTAAATGTTAAAAATAAGAAGGAAACCAACAAAAGCGACCGCCGATAAATTTGATGAACAAACGGTTATTGCGGTGGGTGGCACTGGGAGGCAGAGATGACACAGTTTCTAATTATTCAAATAATAAGCTACCGTTCACAAGTTTTATTTACGTACCAATCAAAGTTTCTATTCTATTGTTATTTAAATGATGTATATATTCATAAAAAAGAAATAAGACACGCACCCAAATCTATTGAGTCTTGTAATTTCTGCTGCCTTGGCGCAGCCTTGACATTTACTTTGCAAACGGAGGAACAACCCAACCTAGTTTTACTCCCCCACGAGCGCAATGTCCCTTATTCAATCAAGTACTTTGATAGTTGGACAGGGAAATTTGTAAAAAGTAAGCCAAGGGAAAGAATGGTAAGAATTGAACCAAATAATGAAATTGAATGGCGAATTACAACAACAAACACAACAGTGAATGAAATTCCAATAGGACGCGGCGCTGCTCTGCTTTGCTCTCTTCGGCAGCAGAGTATGAGTCAACAAAGTTGCGAGTGACGAAATATATTGACAGTAGAGAAAACCAGGATGAAGATAACTTTCTTTTAGGGGGCAAACGCGAGCAATAATTTGATTAGGGTTACTCTCGTGCTTTCTGCTCTGATTGGCAAGTGTTGCTGTTGTTTTTGCTGCTGATGATGTTTTGGCTGCGACGCAATTGCACAAACGGAAAAGAATTTTGTACATTACGCTTTGCATTTGTTTTTTATTCTGCTTTGCGCAGATTTGGTTTACATGTGATTTCGTTTTGTGCTATGCTTCAAAGTCAAGTGTCAAAGACGCAAGCTTATTGTTGTAGTAGTCTCACAAAATAAAAAGCAGCGAAAAAGCAACGTACAAACATACACACAAAGTCACAACTTGTACGCAGGTCACATACACAGATGCACAATTTGTATTTTGGCTGCGCAAACTTTTCCACGAGCATATGTACATACGTATATAATATACATATGAATAATGCTTGTGTGTGTATGTGTGAGCATACATACACACATACATATGTCAACTCGTTTCTCCATTTCATACCAGAATTGTCGTTGTGTGTGTATTTTTCTTACCTTTTAAAATCTCTCATAAGACGTCTGCGTGCGGGTGTTGACATGTTCTACAACGTTACTACCACTTGTGTTAAATGTTAACTAGAACGTTTAAGCAATGCGATTTTTTATAAACAGAAACAGTGAAATTTTGTAATTTTATTTTTAATTGAGGGCACTGAGCAGCGTAAGAAAATGTATCGATACTTCGCACATACCCAACTATATAATGCTCGATACTCGATATATAAAAGAGCTGCCAGCTTGTTGCTATCGCGCTACGATAACACGATACTGTCCACTTAACAGATGTACTCCACTAAATACAAAACCTACTCCACACTTAACAGTAGAGCAAATTTTTCCTTTTTGTATGTCCTTGCTATATTTAAGCGTGGCCGTAACCGAAGGCAGCTTGCTGCTTTTACAATAACTTATTAACACAATTTCTATATATTGATTCAAAGGGAAGCTCAAATTTTTGTTCCCAAATTTTTAGCATTAGCATTAGCATTTTAGTGCTGATAATAACTGCTGTTCTAATGTAAACTTATACACTATGTTAATTCTTCCCATTTAACATTTCCCTGAAGATAAACAAAACAAAACAAACTGCGAGCAAAATTATTGCGGCAAAAATAAACAGACGCGCAGAACATGTATGAAATTTGATTTTTTATAAAATGTGATATATAGTCTATAAGCTATAAATTAATAATATTTTCTGAGTGACAAAGGTAAGTATGTCAACCAGACAATACTATACTTTCAACAAATTTACTTGTGCTCCATTAAAGTTTATTTATGAATTATATTAACACTAACATTGAGAAATTAACTGTATCACAAGTAATAGCATATAGAACATATAGAACATTCCATTTTAATTAAACTGGAAAGAGTTCATTGTAGGTAAAATTCTCCAGGATTTTGATGGCAACTGCCCGGAACTTGATCTCCAATGCACGAGCGATTGGCGCTATCACTTCATTTGTGAATAGCTCGAAGTTCTCATTGATTGTTTGATTGATCACATCACCCAATACTTTGTCGCCATTGAAGAGATTTTCCAGACGTAGACGACCCTTGCCCGTGCGTATCCTCAAACCAAATTCCTTCAGCTCGAAATAATCAACGTCGTTGATGTTCTTAATATCGTAAGCGATGCGCACGTAGGCCACAAAGTTGGTGAAGTTTCCCACGAAGGGCCCGTTGCCCTTGATGGGCAGCGCCAGTATGTTGCCATTAATATCATATTGACCCTCTCCTTTCAGCAGCGGCAATATAAGCTCAAAGTCGAAGCGTTTGTTCTGTATGGAGGCGCGCATTTTGGTTATCTCAAAGTTCGACGCACCGTAGACGCTCAACTTCTTGGCTTTGACTGTGATGCCACCTGCACCACCCTCCAGTATGTTCAGATCACCAATGTAAAGTGGCTCCAGAGCAGGTACATTGATTTCCTTGATGCCATTGCCCAAATATGGACGCAAATTGTGAACGCTCTGCTTTACACATTTAGAGAGCTCGGGATCGTGTCGATGGCAGATCTGGATGTAGTCCGCTAAAGGATTGAATATATAGTGAGAAAGGGTAAATATATGCATTTGATAACACGTGCTAATTAAACTCACGCATATTTGAAGCGTACGTGTAGCCGATGCAGCAGAGCAAGAGGGTGGCTGCAATGATTCTGGACTCCATTTTAGACTTCCCTGCAAAGAGTGAGATAGTTAGCTTTAGCATCAACTCTTCAAACATGTTTAGTGTTGACACAACTATTAAGCCTATAGATTGTGTTTGCCCGCCTACCAGCTAAACACTTTTATTAATGCCCGTTCATTATGGGTTATGCAAAGTCATCTGACTATTATTAGGTTTATTGACGTCACAGTAGCTTTATTAATTTGATAATACCTGACGATTTGATTGGCATCAAGCGCATTTACCAGGTCTCACTAAAGTGCAGCCCCCAACAATAGAATTCATATAATTATTCATTTCGCTTATTATAGACGTTGTTAAGAAAGCTTTACAGTCGCTAAGTAGAATGAGTTTTGGCGTCGCAATTCCCTGGACTTAATATTTCTGTCTTGCATCTAATTATATATTGCCAGTGTTAATTATTGGCCATAAAATCAATAAGGAGCACGTTAACGAGTGTCTGGTCTGTGGAGTTTGTGAGTTGGGCTCTACAGTGGCCTAGCTGGGGCCGCCAGACGGGTCGCAGGTTGCGGATAGCGAAAGGCCACATACCAGAGGTTAACTGCGAATAAGTGCAACTCCCCACAAATAAGCAGTCCCGGACAGTCAGCGGATGCGTGGCGGCTAACCATCGCATCGACAAGGCGCTTGTGCTGCCGCCTTCTTAAAAGCATAGCTGCACACATACTTACACGCACTCACACCTGGGCTGGACTAAGGTGTCAGTCGACCCGTGCCGAGAGTCAACCCGGCTGGGGGCCCAGGTTCAACAAAACTAGCCCAGTTTCGAACGGAGAGCTCAGGCAAGTGGCGATCACCTGTTCTACGCAGCCTTGCTCGGGTATTGCGGATCTCTGCCCGGGTGGACCTGTCTCTCTCTCCGCAACTCGTGGGAACAAAATACAATGAATTCAAATCTACGAAATCCAAAACGGGAGTTCGGTCCTCCAAATCAAAGACCAAGGAATACAACTAGCTTCGCTAGAGGTGGAAGAGGCGGTGGCATAACCAAGGGCAGCCGCGCAAAAAATGTTAAGCAAATACAGCCACAGTCCGGCACATTCGACGAAACCCCAATTGTAAGCCGAAGACCTGCACATTTTTTCAGACCGGATCCATCAAAAGCTACCAAAGCTGATGAAGCCAAAGCCAGTCGGATATTAAAGCGCAATGCTTACGCACCGATTACTGAAGATCAGGCCTCGTCGAGGTGGGACTATCTTAATGTTCAAGAGGATATCGCTTGGGCAAGGGCTGTGTTGCCAAATTTTGAAGCTGGCTTTGTAAGTCCTCATCAGCCTGTCGATGCTGAGCCTATACTGGAGACATTGATTGTTGAGGTTAAAAATAAGGCAACAACACAAGAGCATGGAGAGCTCGGAAGAATTGATGTAGAGTCTGCAGATCATGTAAGCCCCTATCAGTCTGATGAGGCTTCCTCGGTAAATCGTGCCAAATCTAGTGAGAGTCCCTTAAGATCTTTTGCCACAATGGCAAGAGGACGACAGATAATTGGTGTCATTGATAGCAGCCAGCCGGATGGCAAAATTCCCCGAAATCAATGGTGCTGGATACAGGCCGCTATGGCAGCCGTTGCCCTAGAGGTATTGCGAGATAACCCAGGACCGCCGCCCTCATGCATGGACATTGGCTGGTTTCAAGGGACTACCAAGCTGATAGCCTGCGACAATGAGCGATCTGTCCTGCTTTACAGAGCTGCAATTACCAAGATTGGTGAAGTATATCCAGGAGCTCAGCTGGAAGTGATAGATGTGCAGGACATACCATCGCGCCCTTGGGCCACAGCTTGGGTGCCGGAAACGCCATCCGAGTCCAATGACATTCTCGAGTTGCTAACAAGATGCAACCCGAATTTGCCGATAAACGACTGGAAGGTTATCAAAGCGATCAGGTTCAGGGAGGCTGCCATGGAGGTGATATTTCAGATCAATCAAGAGGCAATCCTGTACCTATCGAGGTGTGATGGTCTATTAAGCTATGGCTTCAATAAGATCAACATGAAGTACTACGCAACGCCATATGAAGCACTCTCAGACCTAGAAGCATTTGCAGCGGCTGTCGATCCACCCACTGATGATGATGAAAAGGAAGTCACCGCCGGCGCTTTAAGCGAGGAATCATCCTCGGAGTCCGACTGCGAAGGCAGTCGCCACAGCCTTTAATAGGTAATACGTACATCTAAGAAGCTAAACTTAGGTCGCGATTTTCTAAGCCATTGCAGAGAACGAATCAAACGTTAAAGTTAAATAAAGCCCATGCTATGATAACTTGAAAACCTGGCTAAAAGCAAAACTTTTTATTATTCTCGATGGGGTTCACTGTTTCGAAATGCAATTTGTTTTAAGGCATTTGTAGTTTATTTTGAATAACACACTCGCGAAGTCTTTAGAAATGTTAATTAAGTTTTCTTATTGACTTTTTTTAATACGTTTTAAAATTAATTATTGTAAAACTTATTTTTCGAAGAACATGTTACTAACTTTTAAAATATTTATTTAGTTTTGTTGATTTTTCGTTGAGAACTGTAGACCGCTTTATCTAGCTGACTTGAGTTGTTTTTTGTGTGTTTGTTGTTTTAGTAACCGTCTACAGATCGTACTGAATGCAAAATTGTTGAGGCGTTCGCGTTTTATAGCAAAGCATTGACGCTTCGATTTACATGAGAGTTGCTAGCGAGCTTAGAACCGGGCAACGTAGAACCCCAAAACACGTTGACAATGCCCGGGCCAGAGCAAGTGCGGTTGCGGGAGCTGAAGGCAGCAATACGCTGGGGGTTAATAGTGAGAACGACATGTTAAGCGACTGCGGGTTAATCATAATAATAATCTTAATGATCGCATTCACACAAATATGTTTCTCTGTGTGCGCGTGTGTGGCGATACCCGGCCCACAGAAAAAGCTACAATCAGGCTTTCCAGTTAAGCTATAGCTCGAGCTGCCCCTCTTGGTATACCATATATAAAAATATATTTAATTATACGATTTGTTCGATTACTTTCATTAATGTTGTTGATATTTTGTTTCTCTCTTTCAAGGCACTTAATTTAGAAAATTTTTAAATGGGGGCCCTCGAGTCGTGTTGACAATCCGTCGAGCTTTGTTTTAGAAATTGCATCGCCTGTCATCGGAATATTATATAATTTGACTCCGGCTCGGCAGGCAAGACTATGACTACGGGTACGGTTACGGCTGACATGGTTCACTGCGACTACTGATGGGCGTCCTATGGCGTCGGTTATGGCTAAGAAAATTGTTCAAGCACACGCAAGTGGACGAGTTATTATAATTGGATTATACATATGAAACGTTAAGGAAAAGCTGTTCAGGCGTTCGAGTTGAATTCTTAAAGAAAAAGAAAGCTAAAGCTGTTTAGGTAATAAGCGAACTGGTCTTATATATATGTAATTAGTTTTGACATTTTTAAGAAAGAAACACAGTATTTGGGAAAAAGCATAAAATTATCCAAAATATAAGAAATTGCTCTATCTATTACTGATCTTTGGCAACATTTTCGAGGTTTCACTTTGTAATCGATCTAAATAGGGGTAAATGAAACATATTCATGTTTTGTGACTAAGAGGTTTCCTGGTCAACAGCTCTATACGAACATGGCATATTTTCATATTATTTAATTACATTCCACAGTTTTGCATTCATTCATAATGTCGAGACCTTCAATTTTCATATCGACCCTCCCATTGTTGGCGACCTAATGATAATAGTGAGGCAACTCTTAACCTGTGATCACAGTTATATAATGCTGAAATAGTATTAAAGCAGAAGCCACATTTTATAGCGGAAATTAAATAACCAGCGAATTCATATAATTTTTGACACAAATAAAGTATTCACATATTTTAGATTTACATTTGTATATTTCGTATAGTTGTTTATTAGATCGTTTATTTTTATCTTGGGTGAGTTTGTGTGCAATAAATTAATGCTTAGCTATTATATAGTACTCTTCGGACGCTAAATTGAAAAGAACTAACTAATTCAAATTGATCCATTCATCTAGCGGTATTTTAGCGAACAGGCGATCCATAAAGTTGCGTATGACGAGAGTCAGTTTGGTGCGCAGCGCCGGCTTCATTTCCTTGAGCAGCTCCTGAGAGTTCGAGTTGATGAACAGATTGAGAGCAGCCTCTGCAGTGAGTAAATAAGTACTTTAGGTCTGGATCTATTGGCAAATGCATTGGGGTTTACTCACGTATAACTGTGTTGCCGTTGGCAATGTTATCTACGCCCATCTGTATTTCCTTGACATTGAAGTCCATTTTGACCGAGTCGGTGGTCAGGTATGTGCGTCCATCGGCGGCCTCATTGGCCAAAGCCTTGAAGTAGATCTTGGCCTTGACACCCTCTTTAAGATGGAAGTCATTTTAAAGGATTATTTGGTAGTGGATGCTGCTCTACTCACCGTATTCGCCCCAGTAGTCGCCAGCACCGGAGGCCTTTACCAAGATCAGAACACCTGTGGATCGATATTGTGCCTTGACGCGTATGCGGGGTATTTCACATGTCAGCTGGAACTGCAGCGAATCCAAGTCGGAGCTGCAAATGACGGATGACAATGACAGTGATAATGACACAATGATGATATATGAGTTCAGGCTACGGCTAGATAGACACAAAACTGCTATTTCATTGCTGGATGTGCTAATGTATTGGCATTTTTTTGTCATTGTTGAGCTTCTAAATCTTAATTCAATGTCGCAGTCGTGTGTGGCAGCTAACTCCACCTCGACCTTCGATTCTGGCACAGCCGACAATTGACAGACTCGCGACAACGAAACTGGTGCAAGTTACAAAAAAAAAAACCTGTATTCTCAGAGAAATATTCAGCTGCTCGTTTTAGATCGAGCTGAGATAGGAAATATTAGCTACAGTTGAAAAAATATTTAAAAAGAACCTTTTTTAAAATGTGATCTAAGATGTAGAATACTTTAGAACAGCACCGATTCTCTCTGATTAGGTTTTCTGGTTCAGTTTACTATTAATTCTGTTATTCCCCATCATTTCGCTTAGTGTAATTTGGCAAGCTGCAACCCCATGTTGAATCCAAAATCGAATTCCAAAAGTGAATTGCAAATTAAACCGGCTGTTGGCTACTTGGTTGGCCGATACTACAAGAGACTACTAAACAAATTGTTGACATAGAGAATCGCTTTGACCCACATTTGCTGTCTATCGTCAGCTTTTGCACTCGAAGCTCTTTAGATGATTCGCTGCTTCGAGCTATGTAAATGATTCTGAGTGCTTTGCTAAGGGTATATCAATTCAATATCGAGTTGTGAGGCGCACAGAAGAAGACTCGTTATTTAATTAGAAATACCCTGACCTATCCACACTAGTGTTGCAATTATATCATCACACCTAATAAAATCAAGCTCTTCAATCATATACAATTAAGAGCTAAATTAATCCTGGAACTATGAAAATAGTGTAGTTTTTATGCAGTGAGGGCATCAATACTTCGTCTAACCGAATACACTAGTTCTTGTTTGTATGGGCAGCACTTGTTAACGGAATATTGTCGTGTGTGCTTGGAGCAAATTGTTTAGCCTATTGCTTGCGGCTAGGTCAAGGATTTAATGTTGCATAATCTTGGAGTCGAGGCTGTGTAGATAGCTCAAAATGTTTTTATCTCTTCGATTACTACCATAAACAATAGTTGACAGGTAATTGGATTTTAGATTGGGAGCTTAATTCACTACTTAAATATAATTGTGCTTAATCCCAATTATGAAAAATCGCACTAAAAACTTACTTATATTCTATTAATATTCAACGGTTATTGCCCCAATCGACAGTTCCACTAATTGCCCACCAACGTGCGCTTCAGTAGAACTTACCTCAACGGTAATTTATGATCTGTATATACATATCGATTTCCAATTTGCAGTAAATATAGAACCAAATTGTATTGCAATTACGTGCTATGAAAAGCCCAGAAAATGCAAACGATTATTGGAAATCAATCTCTCTCTCTCTCTCTCTCTCTTTCTGCCAAAAGAGAGTTGTCTTTAAGCGCTGTAGACAATAAAGATATGGACTAAAGAGACTCAAGAGCCACAAGGGGCTTACTCAGAATTCTAGCAAACAGCTTTTCAGACCGCAATTACGGGTAAGTGTGCACGTTACAATCGAGCGCAACTGACTCCATAATACTTGTTGAAGGCGCAAAACTAACTAAATTGATTTAACATGTTAATCATTTATAGATCGGAAGACCTTATATGACAATGCTTATGGTGCAAAATTCCAGGTTCCTTATCATACTAAATATCAGGGTACAACTCATGAAGACTTTTTGAAAATCTTAGCCTCACTTTTGCTTGTATTCAAGTATATACACACTCAACATTTTAAATCATGTGTGAATTATTCATTAGAGAGGGGGGAGGCTATTAAAATCAATATGCTCACTTCTCATCGTGAAGGAGTATACAAATTGCATTCATTAAAATACTTCTTAGTTGCTATCGCGTGCCAGGCAAATGTCTGACTGAGCAAATGAGAAACGAGCTGGAAAAGCGATGCGAATATTTTAAGACGGAAAGAAAAAAATATTTGCGATGTGCAACTGTTAAATACTCTGGCTCTAATATGTAATTTATGAAATTTCAATTGATCAAGAAGTGTGCCCAAGAAAGGGATAAATATTTGAAAGTATGGAAAAGGCTTTTGCCTGTAGCTCAACTGAGGCATTACTAAAATTGTCGTTGTTCTCTTCTGCAATAGAGTATCACAGTGGAGTACGCTGCTTAAATATCACGTTAGTCAAGGTCAAAGCAATAGCCAAAAAGCGCTAATACGCACTGATCACAGTACAAATATGCGAAATGTGACCCCACCTTAAACCTAAGTATATAATGTGTAGTATTTTCCATATAACTGACTCACTGAGCAACATATGACGGCGAAAACTTTAAGGTATGGGAGCCAATAGAAAATGTAGCTATTCTGGAATGAGGAAGGGGAAAATTGTATACCTACCGGACATTTGTAACAGTTATATTGCTAACGCCAAAGGCTTGAATGTTGCGGAAGAGTGCACGATAGCCATCCGGGCCGCTGCCCAGCACAATGCCAATCTCATCGATGATCACGGGTTCAATCTAGAAGAGAATGTGAGTGAGAGAGAGAGAGGAGAACTAGATATTTAGTTTATTGTAAAGCAAGTCGGAGCTTACCTCGTAAATATCCAATTCGGGTATGCCCTTCTGTAGATAATGTACCAATTTGTTGCCGCTGTCACGTAGACACTCGTTGATAGATGCCTCATCGCGTGGGCATTGCTGCAGATAGTAGGCTGTAGGAAGTGCAGAGATGGAGAATGAAAGACAGAGAGAGATCATGAAAAATTGTAAGAGAAAGAGAGAGTGCATATCACAATTCAGGAAGCAAGAGTGCGAGAGAGATGGCAATACTGAGCAGGACAGTCTGATCAGCTGCAACTGTGCAACATTTCCCAGTTCAATGTAGTTTCTTGCCCGCTTGTTTCTTAGGTTATCAACTTTTGTTAATTGTCTTTTGTTTTCTGTATTTTTATATTGTGTTTTTAATGCGTTTTTCTTCGAGCTGAAACTATAAACATTGTGCATTCGAGTGAAGCGAAATAATTGCAGCACGGCTCGCAATCGCGCTTAGTTCAAGTTCGCACAGAGCCGATCCACGCCGGCGGATAAGATCAATCCCAGGTAAAGGCGTGAGCATGCTCAGCAATCAACTTGTTATTGCCTGGCCACTTGCCTCGGACAGACTTGATGTGACAGCTTTATTGGTGGGCTTCATTAACGTCTAGGGTATAACTGTGTCTCTAAACTGCCTGTCCAGATGGGGGCATGAACTCAAGTGCATGAAGCATCAGCCTCAGAGCTACCGAGTATTTAAATTAGTCTGCTCGCTGCTAAAGTATTATCTAAAGCTCTTAAATAACTTTAGATGGTTTGTTTATCATCGTCGTAAATGATTAACTGTTTATAATTAGTGAGATGCATATGTATGTATCTCGGTGGCTTCTACAGTTGCAAAACTTCAGTTTACTCTAGTAATGATAATTTGATATACATACATACATATATACATACATACTAGATTGGATAAAATTAAAATTCACTTTCTTCCAGAAAGCTAGAAGTCTTATTCTGAACGGTGCTACTAGTTAGTCACAGAACAATTCCTATATTGAATGGATATGCATACATACATACAGATATTCACACATTCACATACATATGTA